GGAGAGATATTTTAAAGTAGAAAACCGTACGGCTTCAATAAAGTTTTTATTGTGTAAATATAAAACGTTGTTTTAATTATTTATTATAATTAAAAAAAAGAGTATAATTGTTTTGTTTTTTCTTGTTGTAGTTGAATTGTGCGTAAATCTAATCGAAGGTTATCTTCGCTAGCCGTCCCTAGTTTGAAGTGATAGACTACAGGGAGAGCAGCTAGTCAACACCGCCCACCGCCAACTCTTGAACTACTCTTTTCCAATGAACAGTGTGATTGATCGTCACGCTATAACACCAGGGCGGGTATGTTCGGTGATAGGGTTCGATCCCGCGACTCACAAATTGTGAGTCGAGCGCACTAATCACTAACCGGGTTATCCCAAGCCCCAAGTAGAGTTGAAAGAAGCATTTTTCACAAGTAGACTCCGTTTTAAGAGTATTTTCTCAAAACAGTTTAAGTGGCTTTGATAATTTTAGTTGCTAGACGATTTTAAATGGAATTAAAATTATCTCAGCAAAGATAACATGAATTAAAAAATACTTTCACAATGACATACGTATATGAAATATTTTTTTTTGCATACTTAGAGCGAAAGTCATAGAAAAGAATTTCAGTTCCAACACTGAAAGTTCGATAACTTTGGCAGAAAATGCTTCTTTCATCAAGAACTGAGAAATACAAGAATTATTATAAAATGAAAGTGAAATACTGCATCTTATGAATTTGATAATACAGATTAGGGAAAAAATATAAAAAAATGACTACTTGCTTCACAACAAAAGCGGACTTTCGCAGAGTCTACAAAGGTATTCCAGGCACCAGCATGCTTGAAGTTCACAGTGGTTAGGTACCAGCGGTGAGGAAGGAACTGGTTGAATAACCGGTGAAACTCGGTCAGCCACACTTGCTCCATGCCGCTGAATGTCAACACAGAAGAATTAGAAGATTCTTAATCATCTTAAGCACCTAAGGATTTTCTTTCTATGTATATTTCTTAATTTGATTCAACAAATCCGCATGAAAAGAGGTTTACTTATATAACTAGCAGTGAAAGTTCTTTTAGATTTTAATGCATACCATCTGTCAGAAATCTGGGATGTTAGTCACGTGGAATATAATCAATATCGTGGTAATTCTCGAAAAGTGGGATTGTAATTCTCATTTTCAACCTGAACGCCACCTTATTTGTACGTACGCAAAAAACCCACAGGTCAGAAGCTCTTAGAGTTTAGGTATAGCAGTCTCTAATTTTCAACTACCGACCAGAGGGAAGACAGACTCCAAATAACACTGTGGCCTTGTGTAACCTTCATGAATTATTATGAAGATGACAAAGAACTCGAATTATCCAGAGCATAGAAACTTTTAACTTTTATTTTTTTCAATAACAGAATATTGAGTTTTACTTTCTGTAAAACATTTATTAAAGTTCCTTTTCCTAGGCGTGATATTATCCTCATTACATGTATCTGTAATTAATCAGTCGCATTTCTATAACATATTTTTATGTGTTCTGAGACGCGTTTTGAAATATCAAATCAATACTGAACTGTAAATAATATCTATGGGGTTTTGAGTCTGTTTTATTTCGCCATATAGTAACTTCAATTAATTTAGGCATATGAATAATGTTATAACATTTCGTCAAATTCGTTGTTTTATATCATACAGCGGACCAACTGTTTAATGAACTGTGAATAACTCTGCATGTCACTCTTTCTATAATACAAACATATCATTTGTCGTGTACTAAGACATACACAGGAAGCAGCTCAAACTGTACTCAGTATGTACATGCTTCTTTCTCTATAATACAAACATAATGTGTTTGAAGACTTTTGTTTGTTTGTTTGTAATTAAGCACAAAGCTACACAATGAGCTATCTGTGCTCTGCCCACCACAGGTATCGAAACCCGGATTCTAGCGTTGTAAGTCCGCAGACTACCGCTGTGCCACTGGGGCGTTTGAAGACTTATTCAGGAAGATATATTTCTGATTGTTTCTCTACAACACGGAAATAACATGTAAAATGGACTGTTGCAAGCTATATATATATATTGTTGTAATTCATTTGTTGGGTTATTTTGATGATGTATTCGTAACATTAAGTTCGGAAAGGTAAGATAGAGTTAGAACTTTTAGTTTTAGTTTTAGAAAACTCTTAACTTCTAAGGATGTGACGTAAAGTTTTGTAGCATATTTGAAAGTACGAGCTAGTTAAGTAAGAGTAGAGGGATCTTTCAAGATAGAGAATGAATCAGTCATTGTGTCAGTTATCGCGGTTACTTTACGAATATACGAGCTAGTTAAGAAAGAGTAGAGGGATCTTTCAAGATAGAGAATGAATCAGTCATTGTGTCAGTT